GCCCTTGATTTGATTGCCTTCCTTGCCATGGATAATCCTAAACAATGGGTACACATGAGTGATGAAGAAAACAATTATCTCATCCAAAACAACATAAAAGACAGCAATCTTAAATTGACCTTAGCTTTTGGTATTGGTTTACATCATGCCGGTCTTCATGAGAAAGATCGCTCCTTAGTGGAAGAATTGTTTCTTAATCAAAAAATTCAAGTTCTCATTACAACAGCAACTCTTGCTTGGGGAGTCAATTTACCCGCTCATTTAGTTGTTATCAAAGGAACCGAGTTTTATGATGGAAAAATTCATCGTTATGTAGATTTCCCTATTACCGATGTACTTCAAATGATGGGTAGAGCGGGTAGACCTCAATTTGACAAAGAAGGTATCGCTGTTATCCTGGTTCATGATATAAAAAAGGAATATTATAAAAAATTTCTATATGAACCATTCCCAGTAGAGTCACATCTTATCCCAGTCATTGAAGATCATATTAATGCTGAAATTGTTGCTGGAACCTTGGCAACCAAATCTGACTGTGTTGAATATCTTTCATGGACTTATCTGTTTCGACGTTTATTTAAAAATCCAAGTTATTACGAGCTAGCTGGCTCTGACTTACAAACAATCAATCTTTTCCTTTCGCAATTAACTGATCGTGCAATAAATGCATTACAGTCATCTCAATGCTTAGAAGTTGATGAAGATGACGACAGAACTTTATATGCAACTCCACTGGGAAGAATTTCTTCATTCTATTATCTAAACCACAAGACGGTTCGAATGTTTCAAGATCAACTATCCAATGATATTAAAATTGAAAGGTTACTTCACATTTTGGCTTCAGCAGCTGAATATAATGAGCTTCCAGTGCGACATAATGAAGATTTGTTGAATGAAGATTTAGCCAAGAAATGTCGTTTCCCAGTAACTCATGGAGCAACATATGACTGTTCACATACCAAAGCATATCTACTTCTTCAGTCTCACTTTTCGCGCCTTGAACTTCCTTCCACCGATTATTATACAGATTTGAAATCCGTTTTGGATCAAGCAATCCGTATTATCCAAGCTATGATCGACATTTCATCAATGAATGGCTACCTTGTCGCCACTTTAGGTTTAATTTCAATTTTGCAAATGATTATTCAAGCTCGTTGGTTTGATTCTCCACCCTTCTTAACCTTACCTCATGTTGATGAAATTGTTTTGCCTCAATTCAAGCGATTTCTTTCCTTACATTTGCCTGAATTAATATCAATTGTTGATAGTAAAGGATTTGCATTTTTAACAAGACATCTGGACAATATGTTAGATGTAAAGCAAATTAGAGATATTTATCAAACAATCAATGGATTACCATTGATAAACTTAAAGGTAACCATTAAGAGAGCTGACGATGAAAGTCGTGCCGTTGATGTTGACCTCGATTTACCTGATACCTCAATTAAAGCACGTCATTATATTGAATTGGAAGCTGATACTGATTATTTGATAAATTTCATGGTTTCACGACCTCCAAGACCTGAAGCTAAACCTAGGAAACATGTTTTTGCGCCGAAATATGCCAAAGCTAAAGATGAAAACTGGATATTTATTATTGGTGATTCTAATACTCGAGAGTTGATTGCTCTTAAGCGTTCTGGTTTCATTGGAAATAAACCAATGACTATAAGTTTGATTATACGTACACCCACACAATACGGTCGATTCATTTATTCACTCTATCTACTGAGCGATGCTCTTATTGGATTGGACCAACAATATGATTTAGGAATAGATATTGTTTCTAAATCGGGACCATGAGTCGTTCTGTCATCTTTTGTTATTTCAAAATTCCTGTCATCAAACCCGGTTGTTTAAAAATTTGAAAATTTGCTAAATAAGATTCAAGATCTGAATTAGCACAAAAAAATTGTAAAGGTGATCAAATTTTTCCGTTTTGTAAAGAAAAATGTGATATTCTGATAGATGAAAATATTTATAAATTATTGATATAAATTAAATGCGTTGCTGAAATCAAGAATTACTTAGAATTTCATTCTTCTACATGTTGGGATGTTTTTTTTATTATTGATTTGTGATGATGATTGCTTTGAAATGTAGGCGATGATTGAATTAAACACAAATTGAGTTCACAAGAGGATAATCCACATGTATTTTGATGCATATTTATTCAAACAGACTATGGAAATGATAAATAAGTAAATTTTGCTGGTATCAATATCGACTTATGATGTATCA